GAAGAGCGTTTGGTGAAATGAATACATGATGTCATGTCCATTTCACAGGCAAATTGGTTGCAATCTTCTTTAATCCCTGTTAAATGCCTGGGATGTCTTATCTAATCGTTTGATTGCTTATAGATAAAAAGAAAAATGACTGCGTTAAAGCCAAATCAATTTTTTTTTATCAAAAATAATTTCCTTATTGAATATGACCTGAGGGAAACATAAACATCAGAAGTTGATTAAATATAAAAACATTAAGGTTTGTATTTGTAGTAGTTTTCCTGCAAATATTGGGGGGCAATTCGTCTCTTAAAAATACTTAAATTCTTGTCTTTTCTTTATATGTATCCATATAAAATTTCCGTCATATTGTAATTGTTAATCTGGTGGCAAAACATCAAAAACATGTGCGTTTCATTAAATATGTTTTTAATAAGTCTTTCCCTGTAGGGCCTTTATGCAGGTAAATCTGCTCTTCATAGGCTATTTTATTTTTAATAAGCAGCATATAAAAAAAAAACAGTGGAAGGACGGAACAGAGTAATGAAAGCCGAAGTTTTCCACACACGCACACACATAAATGCACAAACATGTATGCACTCACACTCACATATAAGTCAGGATGATCTCATTGCTATCAATGCAACACGTTCAGGCACGACATCCCTTCTGGCTCATCTGTTTGTCTCGCTTTCTTGCCCTCCCTGTTCTTTCTTCAAAATCAGTCCCAAAAAACTCATCGTAATGTATATCAATTAGTTTTAATCTATGCAGTGCCCTGATACATGTCTGCCATCATATAATAAGACAATCAATAAGCTGCTTAATTGTATCCTAGATCCCAGTTAATTAACAAACTTACTTAAATGGGTCAATGAGATTTTCCTAAGGCCTTATTATTATGATGCCATACTCCTGGAAGTCCTGCTCATGTTTCGGGTAAAGTAGTGTGAAAATTGTTTTCTAAAAAAAGCTGTAGCATTTCATTTGACCTAAAAATCTGCGACAGTTTGGTGTTGCATTTCCTTGTTATGACATGCTGGGTATCAGGAAATCTTTCGCTTCGAGTTCGACACCTTGACTTGTCATTCATGTGTTGTGAACGATGTGTCAAGGTTTCGTTACTCACAGTAAAGCTGTGAAGCTCGTGCTTTCCCCAACTGAAAAGCAGTAGCAAATGTTAAGCTCTTGATTGTGCTCTTTCAGTCCTGCCTTATTTCCCTTGAACGATTGGATTCCAGTGGAAGATTTCATTTGGCACTCAATGTGCATCTGAACTCTCAGTAACACGATATACTCTGTTTTGTTTGGGCCAAGTGGTGACAGATTTAATGCTTCATCACTCGTTTGCATTTTTTTTTATCTCTCAATATCTATTAAACCTATCCAGCAAGTTGGAGAAACAGAAAAACACACACATATAGAGCTCGGCCTCTGCAAGTGAATGGAAAGAGTTATTTTTCCAAATTGTCCTTGCTGCAAGCCAGCTTGCTGAATTGCTCAAGCATATTGATAATGCAGCTGATGGCTTTTTATTTGGCTCTGTTTGATTGTTTGGTCTTCCGGGCATCTAACAACATCCCATCTGACTGTAAAAAAGTGTTAAGCTCTGGAAAACATTAAGCAGTGTACTTCTGTGTATCATATTACTTATAAATATTTAGTCATGAAACACGACCCTGTGGATTATTTGGCTTCCGTAATTACCCAAAGGGAATAAAGCTAAGATCTCACAATAGATATCAATAATACCCTGATAATATGTTTCCTTAAATGTGTACAGTCACACCCTCTGGGTTGCATCATGGGAGAGTTCTGACAATTGTGACAAAATGCATCTATAATTGCATGCTTTGTTTATGTTTGTGTGAACATAATTGGTTCTCATCTGAAAGACATCCGCTTTTATTGTCTGCAGCGGATAAATGTAAAGGCAAGGTGTGGACGGTTGTCTCTCAATCATTTACTCCTCTAAAGGAAACTCATCCTCCTCTTAGGTTGTTTTTCAGCGTGCTGTCATAGGAGATCACACTATCTCTGATATTTATCTGTATCTCTTCCTTTGAAAAATGCTCCTAAAAGCCTTTCCCGTGTTATGACGAGAGACATGTCTCCAAACGAAATATTAAAACCTGCTATTATTCTGTGCTCCCCTTTCGGATGAAACTTTTAAGTGCGTAGGCCTACATCTCTCCTTTGTCAACACCAGAACATATTCAGATAAGTGTACTCAAAATAATGAAAAAG